CCAGGACCTGCAGACCCTTGGAGAGAGGAGCCCACACTGGAGCAGGTTTGCTGGCAGGGCTTGTGACCCTGTGGGGGATCCACGCTGGAGTAGCCTGTTTCTGAAGGATGGTGCCACGTGGGAAGGACCCACGCTGGGGCAGTTTGTGAAGAGCTGCAGCTCGTGGGAGGGACTCACATTGGAGAAGATTGTGGAGAACTGTCTCCCGTGAGAAGAACCTTCACGCTGGAGCAGGGGAAGAGTGTGAGGAGTCCTCCCCTTGAGGGACAAAGAGCAGCAGCGACAACGTGTGATGAACTGACCGTAACCTCCATTCCCCATCCCCCTGTGCCACTCGGCGGGGAGGAGGGAGAGAAGCGGGAGTGAAGTTGAGCCCAGGAAAAAGGGAGGGGTGGGGGAAGGTGTTTTAAGATCCGGATTTATTTCTTATTACTCTACTATGATTTGATTGGTGATGAATTAAACTCCCTTTTCTGCCCAAGTTCAGTCTGTCTTGTCTGTGACAGTAATGGGTGAGTGATCTCTCCCTGTCCTTGTCTCGATCCTCGAGCCTTTCATCATATTTCCTCTCCCCTGTCCAGTTGAGGAGGGGGAGTGATAAAGTGGTTTTGGTGGGCACCTGGCATTTATCCAGGCTAAACCAAAACAGGGGATATTACATTTTGAACTAAATGAAACTGTTTTGAAAATGCATTATAATTATTGCTTCTTCTAAAATATTCAAAGAGATGTTTTCAGGGAAGTTTAGTAAAAAAAGTAATTTCACATTTCAAAAATGAAGTAATAAAAAACTGCTAAAATTGAGATTATCACACATATGTCACAACTTTCACATATTTCTTTAAAAAAATAAACTTGACATCTATGAGCTTTTCAGAGCTTTGATGTAATCAGATACAGAAAAGAACACAAAATCTATAAGGGAAAGGAAAGGAGCATCTATTTCATCGGAAATGAACCTGTATGAGAAGCTGTACAGGCTGCTATGCAATTTAGCATAAACAAACAAACACCGTGTACATAGATTTATAAATATGAAAATTGAATTCCAAAGTTAAAAAGATTGCAAAGTAAAGGTAGAACAAAAATATTTAGATACTTCTGCAGAAAACCTCCAGGAAAAAAAAAAAATCACAGTTCTGATAGGTGGCATAACAAAGTAAATTCAGGAGAATCAAATTATAAGAAAACTTTATGAATGAACTTGAAATTATTTTTGTTGTGTTTTTTTCAATATAGAATATTTAGAAGGTAGAATTATAACTGTAGAAGAAATTCTGAAGATACAACGCAGATGGCATTAAAACAAAATAAAGAAATCATGTCAAAAAGATTGAGATATCCAAAGCTATGCTTATAAAAGATGCTAGCAGCATTTTCTGTTATTATTATTATTATTACTATTTTTCAGATGTTCCCCCTCTAAAAAGCTGACCATTGCTCCATCAGACACGTTCAGCTGGTACTTTGGGCTGCTGTGGAACCAGAACCTGGAAACCAGACATGCTTCTGCACTGAAACTAGATGCCAGTAGACTTCTGAAAAATGATGGAGTCCTGGGAACCCTGACCCCTTTTCGTAACAGAGCTAATGAATTGTTCATAAACCAAGGACTAATCTGTCAGGTGTTTACCTATAGCATGTACTATGAGGAATTCAAGACAAAAAAGATCACATATTTTCTTCCTTACTTGCAGCAGATGAATTTGTAAACTGTAGTTCATTTATTATTGTTTTACCTGTCAAAATATTTCCATCTTCAGTAGCCCCACCAGCCACTGAAAAAGCAGGGTATACCCACAGTTGTAAGAACTTAATGATTACAAAGTAAATGAGGAAAAAGATATCATTCAGAATTTCAGAAGACAGAATTAAATTAAAAGAAAGACTGATATCTTTAAAAGAAAAGTGAGAGTTTAAGCAAATTACAGAGAAAACTGATCAAGATTCCATAGCTGGAAGTATACCATAGACTACTGTAGGGAATTGTTAAAATGAAAAAAACAGCAAAGAAAAATCACATGAAAAGCTTAAATGAAAGAATTGCCTGTTTTCAAAGCAGTATTTTCCAGTCTGAAAAAATGAGATAAAAGGAAAGTGATGAAGAACAAAATATGTTTCTAGGAGTTGTAGTATTTCATATCATTCCCTTCCATTGCTATAAAATGAATATTCAGCAATATGCTTTCTGTCCAACAGAAATGGATTTATTAAGTACAGAAAGATAGTGATACAGAAAAAAGCTAGTACATTTGCTTTCTACACGAGAACAGTTTTAGGTTCATTTCATTATCCTGAGTACCACTCTTCTAACGACTTCATAGCTGAATACAGTTATTGCAATTATCAAAAGTTTCACTGAAGCATAATTGAAATATAAAAGGCAGTTGCAAGTGAGCAACTCTTAACACCAATTTTAAGCCCTCATATTTCTTTTATTTATTATTTTATTTAGATATATGCAAAGAGGACAGATGCTTATAAAACAGCCCTAGCCATAAATTGTCCCTTGAGAAAGAGTATCCTTGATTACAGAAAGAAGCTGCTGTCATAACTCTTGGGAATCTACTAGTGTGAGCTCTACCAGTCCAAAATCAGTGCTCACTGACAGTGCTGCTGTTCACATTTGTGCAGCTTATCTTTTCTTGAGATCATTATTTCAAACAAAATCATTCACGTGTAAGTAACACTATATAAAATCAATGATACATACAGTGTATCAACTCAAACCTCATAAACAGATAGATGTTAAAACATAAACAAACATGAAACACTCTAAGTTATTGAGTGTTTCCTATGCAATGATGCAGGGATTTATCCTTGTCCCAGTATTGTGGGAATCAAGTATACAACGATTAAAAATGAAGAGTGTAGATGAGACAAAGGCTGGATGAGTACTGAGTAATGAAGGGAACAGGTCACTACAGAGATAGGACTATATTCTAGAAAGCAGTAATTGTAGAAACCAATTAGAGAAAATGTGAAATAAGGTTATACTATCAATGGAAAGCTTCAAGAAAAATCCTTGTCAGGATATCTGTACGCAATGTAACAGGAGCATAGGGGAGTCTAATTACTAAGAAATGTTATTCAGTAATGCAGTAGCTCATATATATCACATAATCACACAATGGTGGGGGTTGGAAAGGAACTCTGAAGATCATCTAGTCCACCCCCCCTGCCAAAGCGGGTTCACCTAGGGCAGGTTGCACCAGACCTCAACCAGGAGAGTCTTGAATATCTCCAGAGAAGGAGACTCCACAACCTCCCTGGGCAGCCTGTTTCAGTGCTCTGTCACCCTCAAAGTAAAGAAGTTCTTCCTCATGTTCAGACAGAACTTCCTATACTTCAGTTTGTGCCCGTTGTCCCTTGTCCTGTCGCTGGGCACCACTGAAAAGAGTTTGGCCCCATCCTCTTGGCACCCACCCTTCAGATATTTGTAAGCATTTATAAGGTCCCCTTTCAGCCTTCTCCAGGCTAAACAAGCCCAGCTCCCTCAGCCTTTCCTCATAGGAGAGATGCTCCAGTCCCCTAATCATCTTCGTAGCCCTCCGTTGGACTCTCTCCAGTAGCTCCTCATCTTTCTTGAAGTGGGGAGCCCAGAACTGGATGCAGTACTACAGATGGGGCCTCACTAGGGAAGAGAGAGGGGAGGGAGAACCTTCCTTGACCTGCTGGCCACACTCTTCTTAATGCACCCCAGGATACTATTCGCCTTCTTAGCAATAAGAACAATATATACAAAACTTGAAAACTTGTGAAGGTTAGTGGGAAGTAAAAAGACAGCCTAACACTCTAGAAAACGTGCTTTTACTTTAAGGGACTAAGACATTCATTTACGTTATATAGAAGAGAAATCCAAGAGATTATGTGTCTATACTCTGTAATTAACAGTTCAAGAGAAAGTTGTGGTAAATCTGTGCTGGTCTGAGCATAACAAGAACTTACATCTGACAGTGAGTCAGCCATGTTCCAATTATGTATCAAGTATATATTTTTCAATTAGTGGAATAAATGAAACAAAATATCTCAGAAGATTTTCTATAATTTGTAAATCTTCAAACAAAATTAGACCTTATAAGTAAGCAAAAAGTTATCCACTGAATGAAATTATATGACATATTATATAAAATGTTAGAAGCACACTGGCATTTGTATGTATGTACCTATGAAACTTCATTCTAGCTTGAGATGTCAAAATATACCTTGTTAGGTAAAATCTTCTTATTAAAGAATAACACTGTTGGGAAGTGAATTATTTTTTGATATCTGCAAATTCACGGTAATAGTGGCAGCAGACAAATACAACAGACGCTTCTGGAAAGTTTTGATTTGTGTTGAAATTAAAATTTTGATTTCAATATTTTGGTGTGGAAATTAGTGAATATTTATTTCTGATAAGTAAATATTTGTGATTACAAGTAAAAAACACCCTGTTCACCACTGTGAATTTGTCAGCAAAGGCAATGAAAAAAGTTACGTCTGATCTAGTTCAAGTGATAGCTCAATTAAATTTCTGTATAATTAAAAATCTCAACTTAATAATCAAGCAATAATGATAATGAAAATAAATGTTAAATACTTCATACTGCCCTTAGAGGTAATACCATGGTGTTAGATTAGCAAATGAAAGCAATAAATTTTGCTGGCTAAAAATGTTGGGCTAATAGCCAAACCACTTTTAAAAAAACAACTTTTATCCTTTCATATGGTGCTGAACTAAACAGCTTTGTGAAGGAACCAAACATTTTAGTCAATAATAAGGAAAGTGCAATTACTAATCAGCTGACATAACTCTAAAATTGGGACTATTTATTTACAATTTAGATGAAAGTAAATATCCATGACTTGCTTAACAACTGGAGTTCATTCGTGACAGTAATTTCTAAGTGAGCGTACTGTATACGACAAACTGTTCATTACTGTTGTAATTAGTATAGCATATTCTATTAGCTTTCCTGTACAATTATATTTCTCAAAATGCAAATATAATTGCTTACCAAGATGGTGGTAACTATTAAAGAGCGATTGGACAGGGAATCTGTGATGTTTGTTGGTTTTCCTTTCTGATTCTCTGTCATGTTAAGGCCACTCAATGGATCCCAAGTTCCAACCTATAAAACAGTAAATTACTGTGTAAATTGTCCATTAGTTACATTTCAGCACCTAGAAAAGAACACTGTAAGGAAAAACAGATTGTTGGGTTACCGAGAAAAAAAAAGTGAAGGAAAAAACGGTGTGTGGGGGGGGGGGGGGGGGAGAGAAGGGAAAAGGATGTCTAATATTTCTTATTAAATCCTGGTTCATTATTCTCTGTGATTACATTTGTAGTCTGCTTGTTTAAAATATGATTCTCAGTACCTCATAGTGTGTTTCATGCAGTGTGACTTTAAGTGGAAAAAAGATGCACAGACTGTCTAAAGCTACTCCGAATGCTTAATTTTCCATTTAATTTTCATTCTTCAAGATAAACCATATCTGAAAATAACTTGATAGTTAGGTGGAAATTCATTTGCAGAGCAGAGAGCGTTGTCTCTACAGAAGTATTTACCGTTTTCTGTGATCAGAGAGAACAGCAGAGCAAAAAGATATTTTGGGGAAAATGTAACAGAGAAGACTGACAGTAGGGTAACTGTAATAACTTAAATGATTTATAGATAGATGTTCAGTACGTAGCTCTTTTGACATTTCATACCTTGAAATTCGTATTCTGGTAAAGTTAATAGGATTTTTATCCATGTAAGGAGGTGTAGGGTTATACTTCAAGGTTCAAGTCAAGGATAGACTCACATACTAAGTAACAGGTAATGGGGCTTATGATTACATCATTTATCTGCAATTTCATCACTAAACAACTAAACTGGTCAAGCAGTAAATACAATTATCCATTTATAGACATCAGAATGTTTGCATTACCCCATAGTCTAAAAAAAAAAAACACAACACAAATGTTTACTGTTTGTTTCTACAAACGATTTAAAATATCATTTCAAATACTGAGCAATATCTATAATAGAAGGTAAAGACATCTTAAAACTAAATTTAGACAGTAATTTAAAAATTCTGTGAGGTTTGACTGTGAATATATGTATGTATGTATGTATAGATCTATATATAAACACACAGATTTTTATTTTTTTTTAATCTTTCAAATTTGTTCCTGAGAAACTGTTCATAGACTTTTAAGTGATTTGTTACAGTATGGCTGCAAAGTACGTTCAGAATGCAATTCTTTATGGGTTGAATAGAAAGAGTTTCATTTCTAAAACTGAGAAGTACAGGACAGCATGAATCAGTGGAAGCTGTAACAGAGAAAAGACAAATTTGCTCTACTTTTCTCTGATTTTCTGTTCCACAGAAATCAGTATTTTATCTTTCCTCTTTGCATAACACTCAGTTCCAAGAAGTCAATCCTTAAAATGGCTGTGATTGTTGAATTTTGGCCTTTCAGTACCTCACAAACTGACAAAAGAATCATAAATGGAAAAAAATGAAACATGTGTGTCTCAAAAATAGCAATTGGAAAATAACATCCAACACCCCATTTCACAGTATTGAAACCAAAATTGCTACCAAAAAACTTTTATGCATTTACTCTTTTAATACTGTTTCATCTGGTAACTTCAAAGGGTTTTAGATGTTCAGCCTTGTGGTCCGGACACAACTGAGAAATTGTAAAAGGATCGAGAACTCTCAGTTGCAATGTTCTGTTAATTACAGCAAATGCAGTGTTTCCTTTACTTCAAAGAAAGACCAAACTAGAACATAGTAGCAAGGAGTGACAAAACTAGAACTTGAGCCAGTCGCTGTTGTTTCTTCACATAATTGAAGCTGGACTCTATCAAACTGAAGCTCCTCTATCAAATTCAATTCCAGATACACAAGTAACACAAAAATTTTTAAGTGAACGCCATCTACTTATTTAATCAATTTTAAATCCTAAATTCATTAAATCATATATTTTATTCACGTTTAAGCCCATAATTAAAAATTATCTTGGCAAAAGCTAACACATTGTAATTAAAATGCTTACTCCCCTACATTTTCATATAGCCACAGCCACAAGCAAATAAATAACCATCAACTGTTACAATTTGAGGTTTATATAAATACATCCGTATAGACCTGTAAGAACTATCAATAGCATTACTTTAAAAAGAAACTTCTGTCTTCATAAATTATCGCATTATTTCTCTGAATTAAGTTAATTGTACTTGTATTGCTATTTTTTTGAATAAAAAAATCTAAGAAATGGAACAAAATTTGGATGTTCCAAATAAGACATTCTTTGCATTCCACAGAGTGCAAGAGCTCTCAGTCTCTAGGTGTGAGAAAGCAAGAAAGGAAGGCAAGAGACCAGCATGGCAGAGTCAAGACCTGCTGGTCAAACTAAAAGGCAAGAAGGAAATGCACAGGCACTGGAAGCAGGGACAGGCATCCTGGGAAGAGTATAGCAATGCTGCCCAGTTGTGCAGGGATGGTGTCAAGAATGCCAAGGCACAGCTGGAGCTGAACTTGGCAAGGGATGCAAAGAATAGTAAGAAAAGCTTCTACAGGTATGTCAGCCAGAAAAGAAAGGTCAAAGAAAGTGTATCCACCAACGCAACCAGCAAACAGGTAACAACATATGAAGAGAAGGCTGAGGTACTGAAAAACATTTTTGTCTCAACCTTCACTAGCAACTTCTCTTCCCACACCTCTCATGTGGATGGACTGCAAGACAGGGACTGAGGGAGAAAAGTCTCTCCCACTGTAAGAGAAGATCAGGTTTGTGACCACCTGAGGACTCTGAACACGCATAAGTCTAACGGACCTGACGAGATGCATCCCAGAGTCTTGAGGGAAATGGCTGATGTAGTTGCTAAGCCACTCTTAATCATATTTGAAAAGTCATGACAGTCAGGTGAAGTCCCTGGTGACTGGAAAAAGGGAAACATCACACATTTAAAGAGTCTGGAAGGGAGAACCCTGGCACCTACCAACCTGCGAGCCTCACTTCTGTGCCTGGTAAGATCATAGAATCACAGAATCACAGACTCATAGAATGGTCGGGGTTGGAAGGGACCTCTGTGGGTCATCTAGTCCAACCCTCCTGCCGAAGCAGGGTCACCTACA